CAAACTTTATATGCACATATCAAATCATTGATTAAAAGTGAAGATGTTGATTGACAAAGATTAATTGTATCTCCTCGTTCAACTGATATAAACAAGTCGTACATCCACATATGGAGTCGTTGGTCAAAAGTGAAGGTAATAGTTGATAGAGGTCAATCAAGTCTTCCTGTCCAACTGATATACACAAACTTCATATTCACATGTGGAGTCGTTGGTCAAAAGTGAAGGTAATAGTTGATAGAGGTCAATCAAGTCTTTCTGTTCAACTAATATAAACAAATCTTACATCCACATGTGGAGTCGTTGGTCAAAAGTGAAGGTAATAGTTGATAGAGGTCGATCAAGTCTTCCTGTCCAACTGATATACACAAACTTCATATCCACATATGGAGTCGTTGGTCAAAAGTGAAAGTGGTCGTTGACAAAAATTAATCGAGTCTTCTTGTGCAACTGACACAAACAAATCTTACATCCACATATGGAGTCGTTGGTTAAAAGTGAAGGTAATAGTTGACATACATCAGTCGAGTCTTTCTGTCCAACTGCCATAAACAAACCTTATGCCCACATATCATATCCAACATAAACTAATCTTCACACATTGGTGAAAACTAAAGATGATGAATAAGAATCATCAATTGAGTCTCCCTACCCAATATAAACCCTAGCCAACAAATACGTCTGCCTATAATTGCTCAAAAATAAAAATGACGAACGACACAAATCAATAGAGCGTTAAACAGAGCATAGGACATTTCCTAATCCAGGTGACAGATGAAGAAAACGAGCTGACTCGACTCGCCTCGCCTTGATCGAAGGAAATTGCGCGTTGAACAGGCAGGACACGTTCGAACCGTGTCCTGAATGGGTCGACGCGAGCTAAGCATTCGGTTTCGGGCCAGAAAGAGGCCGTTGAAGGAGAGAGGCCGAGAGAGGAAAGGACGTCTTTCAAGGAGTAACCACAAATCCTAGTATAATACTAATAGGCACATAATAGAGTCAATAGGGCTTAGCCGCGGGACGACAATGAGATCCTGTCAAAATACGTCGAGTAACACGAAACCTAGGAAGTGGATTTTTCTCAATGGAAGGCCCCTGTCTTGTCACCACGCGCGGGCTGTGCCTTATTGTCGGGTTTTCAAAAAATCCGAAACCTACCGTGCACGCGATTGGGGTTTAAGTTTCACAGTAAGGATTTCGGGTAGAGGAACGCGGGAAACGGATAATAACGGAGCGTGACACGCTTTCGATCCTCAAGTGAACAACGCTTTTCTGTGGTTTCGGGAAATTTGGGATCGGGAGCTGTAGAAGGGAATTTGGGAATTTTCAAGTTTGGGAATATGGGGATTTGGGAATTTGGAGATTTGGAGATTTGGAAATTTGGGGATTTGGGAATTTGGAGATTTGGGAATTTAGGGATTTGGGAATTTGCAAGCTTGGGAATTTGGGGGTTTGGGAATTTGGATATTTGGGAATTTGGGGATTTGAGAA